TGGCACACATGTACAGAAGAGGAGAGCCTAAGGCTGATGGGTATTGGCACTTAATATTTCTCACTTATCTTGTCAGCCATTCCAATGTCATCCATACCCATACTCTCACCCTGTTCCCCACTGACTAGACCTCAGCCCTGCCATAAATTTCCTTTTTGAAAATAGTTTGACTACCATTTTAGCTAAGAGCTGGATTCAGACAACTGGATGAGCATTAGCTTAGTCCAAGGACTACTGAATGTTCCCAGAAGACACACCATGCATGTGAAAAATAGCAGGCGAAAACCCCTTTTTTCTACTTTGTACTGACTACACATAGGTTGTCTGGTTCATGATGTAGGCTTATGTCTGTTTTGAATGCTGGCCCTTTTTGCATTCTGGTTCTTGTTTTCCTGCCACAAAGGTTTGCTAGTTTGGTGTCCAGGCCTACCATGGGTAAAATGAGAGCCAAAAAAACTCAGAAAGCAAAATCAGAATGACAGCCTTAAGAAAAGCTCTTTGTTGGGGAGTCATCGCTTGGGAACACCTTACTCAGATGGCTCCAAATTTGGATGCTAACCTTGTCCTATCTTCCTACAGAAGTGTGAATGAGTAAGTGGGTTAGAGAGCACTTACATAAAAGAAGCCATTCTCTATCTTTGTTACAGCAAAGTGGGCATTTGACTGTAATGCTACAACTAAAGTTCAACAGGTGTACAAATGGGCATTTTGGTTGCCATCTGGTTTTCTGATACAAAGAATGAAGCATCTGTAATTCATCTGTGGTTAGTCTTTGACTGTAATTACAAAAAGAGAGCTTATGAAATGAGTGTGATGCAGGGACAAGGTGGCAGAACCACTAAAGGGTAAATGAAGAGATAACTATAAAGAAATGTAGAGGGATCAAGTTTAAGTGAAGGTTGGGGTAAGGGGATTTTCTACTAGAATGAGCAATCTCATTCCATGTTCCATGGAGTTAGCATATGTGGGCTGTGGTCTGTGCGTCATCAAAGAGAAACTATTACATAGATATGTCTCCAATTCAACGTGTGTTCACCACAAGGAAGACTTTTCTCAAGAAGGAGATAAAGGCAAAGAAACAAAGGAAACGGCATTTTATGGAAATGTAGCCATTCTGTTGTCTCACTCAAATCAAGATTAATAGTTCCTTGCTATTAGGGCCAGTAAATTCATGCATACATTTGAAAAACTTATAAGAAAACCTTGTCCAGCTATGCCTCTGAGGACATTATATTTTAAAAAGAAAGATGGAGCGCACCACTAATTAAAACCAGGAATCTAGATTTAGTGGGAATGGCAAAGGGGCTCTTTTCCAATGTGATTTGCTAGTTAGACTTCATGGATAATAGGGAACTGTTACATTTAGGTAACATGGTGTTACTTGAAGCAGAAAAGCTCAAGCTGAATTTGTATCTTTTCTTTTACAATCACTTTTCTGTTGGCCTTCATCTGTTGTCATTCCTTGCTTCTGGACCTGCCTCCCGATTCTTCGTGCCAAACACCATCTTCACTTTCCAATCTCTTAGTTGAACTTAGTGCTCCCTCAAATTTCCCTGTGCTGATTCACTTGGCTAGGAGTCTAGGCTATAATCATTGTCTTAAGTATTGTATTTGTTTCTGTGGGTTAGGGACCTTTCTTTACTCTTACATGTAAAGTGACTTATGCAGCAAAGATGTGAGTTTAATACAGCTTTTAATGAAGAAACGATAAAGGACAGATTCAAAGGGCCCAAGTGGCATTCTCCTCCTCAGATGTTCTTTATGCCCTTTTTTAAATAGGTCATTCCACTTTATTCTTGATTGGTATCTATTGACAGCTACAAGGAGTACATGCTCTTGTTGAAGACATAGGGGTTATTACTGGAGGCAGTTTCCTGTTCACTGAAGAACTCATTTCTAGTCCCTGATGATGTATTGGTGCTATGCTTGTGCTCTCAGTGGGAGAAGCCCATTAGAAGGATATCATTCTGGAGCTGAACAAACCTCTGAGTGAATGACCTTCACCACAGTATATGCAAGTCAGCCAATGACCTTCATTTGCAGCAAGTGTTTTAGGTATTGGCCCAGATCATATAATTATAGAAGACCCAGTTCTTCCCTCACATATATTCTGTACTTTACTGCAGTTGCCTGGTTCATCTAATGGAAGACTTTGTCTATAATGTTTGTTCTTAACTGAATCTCCACAGATTGGTATGTTTCTTAACCCAGTGACCAGTCCTTTCTGCATGAATGAATGAAAATAGACTCATAGCTTTCCTCTAGTAGGGTGGCTAATTCTAGTTTTTTATTATATTCTCTTACCCAGGAGCTTGTAAGCACCCTATGTTAAAGTGTTAAGTTCTGCTAAATATATCTATATATTGGTTGGGCTGTTTTCAATCGCTCTGTTATCCATAGTTAGAATAGTCAAAAACTATCCTAACTGTAGGGTACTGCTGTGGAAGCACAGATTCTGGAGCTGTTTCAGACTTGTGTGGCTGAGGGTACAGTTTAGCCCTCATGCTTCTATTCTCATTTCTGAATCAGAAATATTTCCGAAACAACAGAAGTGTGTAGACAGACAGGAGCTCAGCAACATTTCCCAGTTGGGGGGTGGCAGGGGAGAGGGGGAGGAGGGTGCAGAGGCAGATGTGCATTTGTACATGGCTACTGCCACTTCTCCCCTCTGCTCAGCTGTGGCATGGTATGGCGAGGCAAAAGCCACCTTCTGCAAGAGCCTGTGCTGCCTGACTGCAGAAATTTAAAATATGCAGTAATGATCCAGGGCAACATCTGGAGAGATGGACTAGAAAACTACACACTTCTAGGGCTCAATCCCCAGCCCATGGGCCAGATCCAACCTGTGGATTCATGGCATCTATTCTGCAGGGTTCTCTCCCCCTCACCCTCCCTTTGGTCCTAAAATTTGGCCTTGGGGGAGCAGTGGCAGTGTTAATTGCCACTCCCCTGCTCCCAAATATCTGGACCTATGAGGAGCCTGGTGGACCGGATAGCATGGCCCTGCATGGTACATTGGATATGCAGGGCTGAAACTGATTTGGGCATGCAGGGCTGGGGCTACATGGCCCCGATCTGGCCTAAGGACTGGCCCTGTGCCACTCATCTGGCCCACAGTTGGAGCATGTTGTTCTAGGGTATTGTGAAGAAGCTGATAGGGGCCTTTCTAATCATTGCTGGAGAAAAGTGTATGTTATCTATGGTGTCTCTATTACAATCATTCTTGAAGTATCTGTGTTCTAAACGCACTGTAATCTAGAGCCAGAGAACATCTATCATTATCTAGAGAGGACGTGATGGATTCTGTTTGTTTGTTGCAATTTGAAAGCAAAAGAATCAGCACAAAATTGCCCTTTCATTTGACAACAAACACAAAATGAAGGTTCCAGTAATGCTTTCCATATTAGTTTTCCTGAAGGGGCCAGATTGCCCACCTCAGTTGAAAAGGGATTTCTTTTATCAGCCAGGGAAATACTGTTGTTTTGGAAGTTATGTAAAGCCCAAGTAGAGTCTGGGTAATGATTCTGTCTTATGAACAATGGGTTTTATTCAACAAATTCAGCTTTAACCACTGTTAACCAGTTTAATCTTTTTTTGAAACATCTGCAAAGGACACATTTCACTATAAATCCTACATTTCCAAATTCAAGATCTTAACATAATGTTTCTTACTGGCAGTTTTCAGCCTTGTGTGTGCTAAGCTGCTTGTCAAGTGTTTAGCTTTGTTGATAAGACACAGGGGAAAGAGCAGTGTTGGAAAAGTTGGAAGGTCAGTGAAAGCTGCACTTACAGCAGTGCAACAGCAAAACATCAGAAAAACAAGCAAAAGATACCTTGAACTTTCTCCTACTGTACCCATATTTTGAATGGTCAATGGGTGATTCACATATATAAAATGATAAGTGGCCACAAAATGAGTCCCTCTGAAAGAAACACCTCAGGTATATGCATCTTATTTATGATGAACTGATCCAAAGCTCAAGTCTGAATATTTCCAAACCTTGATGCATCTGAAATCCAGATCTGAATGGGAATTTTTATGATGATGACCTTATTTACTTACCATTCTTCAAAGCAGCACGGTTTCTATCTACCACAAACCTACACTTAAAATGAACAGCATTTTCCTCTTTGCTCTGTCACATTTTACTCAAACTTGTCTGTCACAAATTAAGTGAATCTTCAATAGGGATCCAAATGAGTCTACAAGAATGCCATCTTTTGTTAACTAAAATGAGCTTAGCAAACTATTCGACAAACCATTAAAATAATCTTGATGAATAGTTCATATAAATTAAGTAACAGCATTTATTTTACCTAGCTAATACATAAAGAACACAAAATACATTTGTGAGGATGCAGCCTGTTACAATTACATTTCTATACCTTAGTAAAATATATTTTTGGTTGTGTGCATATACAGAAAGACTGTGAAAAATAACATGTATGTAATGACAAAAATGTAATAAACTACTTTTCAGTTCATTTTACCTTTCCAGTGTTTCTCTTGTGTAGCTTTTACAATCTTTGCGATTTGGACTATAAGATTACTTCAGAGCTATGCCCTTTTTTGTGCAGAAAAAAGTGAAAAACAACCATCAGCTGACTTATAATTGCCCCATGGCAACATCACAGTTATAGAAACACTATAGCCTTTTTGGACAATCCATATGAAAATATTTTAATTAGTTCTCCACTCCTCCATAATACACTAGAAGTGTTTCATGTGGTAATTCTATAAGAGTAGAAAACCAAGTCCACCAGATGAGTATGCTGTTTTTAGCCTTCTGAAATACCCACTTGCCCTTCTGCTTCATGCCCTATACAACTGTTACGTAGTACGACAGTCTTTCTCCATGCCTTTTTGTCTCATTGTTTAGCAATATTATATGGTGTTATCAGCATCACAGTAAGGGAGAGTCAACACGAGCTTTAAAGCAGCAGATAATACTACTATAGCAGTTAGATCCCTGCAGCTTTCTTGGCTGTGCTAAGCTTACCTAAGGAGCCATTGAGTCCAGCGTTGCAGTTTCTACTGTGATGCCTCAGGTCAATGAACAGTAGCTGGTTTTGAGGAAGGAGACGGGTAAAGCAAAAAGAACCTAAAAACAGGAAACTACAACGCAATATACAGTGAAAAATGCACCAGTGAGAAAGCAGATTAACAGACTGGGTGTAAAACGTTCGTATTTTTGTATTTCCAACTATTTAGTTGGTCTAATAAAAGATATCATATTTACGCAATGAACCCTGTCTACCAGACTTGGTGAATACTTTTTGCCCTGCTTTTCAGATAACAATTCATTTTATGTCTAATCCTGTTAATCTTAATTTGACTAGAAGGAGGTGGGCAAACGTTTGCCCTTTTGATGCTGCTATCACAACTTTACAGGAGCTTAAGCAACAGCAGCATTTAATTAAACAAGTATTTTGTAGTCCCCACACTCCTCAGGATGCAGAGGTTAACATAGGAAATAACAAGTTTTGTAGAGCTGAAGGCCACAGATATAGCACTTCATCTTTTATTTACATATGTCAAAATCAGAGTGCTTGCTTGTTTTCACCAGCTTTTATTCCTGCCTTTCCCAGTAAATTGCACATTGAATCTAATGAGAATTTGCTTCAGTAGAAGCTTAAGGATAGCTATGACCTAACACGAATACAGTAATTTCAAAATCTGTAAATAAGGATTGAAAGTTTGTATTTATATTCCCACACTGGCAGAGTCAAGTTTTTTAGTGGGAGTACTGCCTGAGTAAGGGCAAAAGGACTGGACCCACAGCATGAGAGTAGGAATATATATATATATATAATATATATAATTTTCATACAATAATCAAGTTTAGATCTGTTCCCAAAAAATTAATGGAAGAGGTTCAGGTCTGAATCTTTTAACAAATTATCCTAGACTCTATGAGACTAGGCATGGCTAATAAATTTGGAAGATTGTTCTTTGGTAGTTGGACAAATTATTTTTACACGCAGTGATTTTCATAATTACTGGGCTTGGTTGGGAATGATTCATTTCTGCTTTTGGGGGATATTGCTACACCGTAAGAAATGTAAAAAAAAAAAAATCTGGCCTGTTTGTCAGCCTAGGAGAACTGAAGTGGAATTGCTTATTTCAAAACTCTAAAATAAGATAAACAGAAAATGTGGGTTCTGTTGAATCAAAAGACAATACCAGACAGCTTTTTCTGTTTAAACATCTGATTTAAATACTTGGGTATTTTTTTATGCAGAGAAGACAAGGCAAAAAAGTTTCATCCATAGCGTTTACAGTTACTAGGCGATTACATTAAATCTGAAAACACTGACCAATTTTAGGGTGGAGAATGCATGCAGGCGGGGGTGCAGTTCTTAACCCGCAATATGGTATTTGGCAGGTTTTTCTGCAGCTGTGGCGGAGAACAGATTAGATTCTATTTTGGAAGAAGTCTTGGTCCAATTTGCATCCTTCTCATTGACAGAAATGTGACCTAGGCCCAGGCATACTATTTACCTTCATTTGCCTGTTTGATTTAGTGCCTAATAAGAATAAAGACTGTGGAGGTAGATCTGTATCCATTTTGCAGTGAGAAAGTAGTAGTTACTATCATATCCATGCATTTGCTCACCTTCAAAGAGCTAGTAATGGGCAAAGTGACTTGATGACCGTATGGAACAAATTCATCCATGGTAAATGCAGACATAGTTCTTAATGGCTTGAGTGTTGAATTTATCTAGTGTCTCAAACTATTTGCCACCCATCTTGGAGTTGCTGTCATCATTGGACTGGGCTTTAGCACTAAGAAAGAAAAACTGAAAAAAGCCCTTACTGTGTGGAAAAAAACACCATTATAGAAAACACCTAGAGAACAAATTTTAAGTCTAAAATGTGTCATTATTTTCTACCTTTTAATTTATAAAGGGGCCCTCTCAGATGTTCCTGGCTGCATGTACAAAGACTTAGACAAACGTAATTTACCAGCAGACACCAAGCCTAAGATTTCCAACCCAAATCAAGATCTCTAAGAAACTTCAGTTTTCATACAGAAGCACTAAGTTATAGGAGACTGCACGGTGAACTCTACTGAGCATGGACCAGAGCCCAGCAAATTGGCTCTGCCACTGACTCACTTTGGATGCTTGAGCAAGTGATGTAAATCCTTACTGGTCTGCAAATAAAAAGTTTTTTGCAAATGGGTTTACTCATTTCAATAGGGTGTGTGAAGGCTAATTATATTTTGTGATTTCAAAGCACAATATAGGTATTAATAAAGGTTCACTGGTGTTATTAAAGAATAAGGAAGAAACAAACAGGAAATGTTAGTCAGGAAATTACATCATTTAGACATTCCAATTTTTTATGAGGAGCAAAGCTAGTTGGTAAAATACAATTAGTGATCTATCTTACAGGACTAAATATACAGAACCTGGTTTTCTACCTCTAGCTCTGTTTTTGGCTACCTACGTGATCATGGGCAAGTCCCCGTGCCTCATCTTCTCTATATGCCAAAGGCAAACCTATTTTTGTAAAGTGTTTTGAGAAGAAATAGATGGAGTATTGTGTCCAGTTTTGCCCCCGTTCCCCCACTACAGACAGGATGTACACAAATTAGACAGAGTCTGGCAGAGAGCAATGAAAATGGTGAGGAGGCTGGAGGACATGACTTATGAGGAGAGGCTGAGGTAACTGGTCCTATGTAGTCTGGAGAAGAGAAGATGGAGAAGGGATGTAATAGCAGCCCTCAACTATTTGAAGGGTGGTTCCAAAGAGGATGGAGCTAGACTGTTTTCAGTGGCAGCAGATAACAGAACAAGAAGCAATGGGAGTTTAAGTTAGATATTAGGAAAAACTTTCTCACTAGGAGGGTAGTAAAACACTAGAATATGTTACTCAGAGAGGTTGTGGAACAGGTTATCTAGAGAGACTGCTAGACAAAGCCCTGGCTGGATGGTCCTGCTTTGAGCAGGAGGCTGGACTAGATGTGACCTCCTGAGGTACCTTCCAGCCCTGATTTTCTATGATTCTATGAAAGCTCTATATAGGCTTATAGGCAGACAAGGTTCTTTGGGTGAATCTGGTATCTTTTATTAGACCAACTTAAATAGATGGAAAACAATTTTTAAGCAAGCTTTCAGGTTCAAAAACCCTTCGTCAGGCTGAGGAAGTTTCAGCAGTTGGTGTGTGCTCTTCCTGGATGGAATGAAAAGTAAAGAACCCAGAGGCTGGGCTGATCTGCATACAAATAGTCAGTCAGTGAAGATGTAGACTGAGGAGTGAATGGGTGAGAGACAGGTTGGGTGATGGGGGAGAGAAGGGGAATGAATAGTGGAGAGGTACCTGGGGAGTCAGCTGTCAGGCAGGTTATAATGTGTCATAAATCCAATGTCTATATTTAGTCCATGATTTTTAGTATCCAGGAGGCTGATGAAGTGGAGTTCATGGGCTCATCTCTGGGAAGTGTTTTGTAAGTTTCCTTTTGAGGATCAGGACTGAGAGATTGGAGAGAGAGAGTGCTTTTCTTGTGAGAAATGTGCCCCCACAGGTCATTGTGTATTCCTGTCTTTGATAGATTTCCGGTGTGCATTCATTCTGGTGTGCAGTTGTTGTTTGGTTTCTCCTACGTATTTTCTATCAGGGCATTTGGTGTATTGGCTGAGATATACTACATTTCTGGATGTGCACCTGTAAGATCCAGGAATGCTGATGGCTCTGTTGTGGGGTGTAGTAATTATGGGGGTGGTGGAGATGTGTTGGCAGGTTTTGCATTTCTTGTCTTGGCATGGTCTGGATCCATTTGGTGTGTTTTGGGCCTGAGGAAATTTGCTTCTGGTGATGAGGTTAGCGACGTTCGGTGCTTGTTTGAAAGCTAGGATGGGTGGCTCTGGGAAGATCTCTTTAAGAATAAGGTCTCAAGTATTTATATTTAGTTATGTACTATTTATATTTAGTTATTTATGTACCTTCTATATACTGTACACAATCGCAAATCATGACAAATACTTTTTGTAATAAAATTAAAATATATTATAGTAGGTGTTTGATTTCTAGTGTATGCTTTGGTTTTTATCTGGTTCTAAGATGGCAAGCCCCAACTCCCAAAAGGAATATTTGGGGGGAGGGGGCAGCAAGGGGAGATGCTTCCGATGCCATGGTTAGGGGGTAGGGGGCAGGACTTCTGGTCCTAATGTGGCGACCAGGGTGTGGGGCAACTGTCAAGGGAGGTTGGGGCTACCTATGCAGCCCCTGACAGCTCACCAAAACTTGTTAAGCAGCCTTCTGCCCAAAATAATTGCCTGCCCCTGACCTATGACTAGTCCTGACTCAGTGCCCCTGACTCCAAACTTGCTGATCCCTGCCCCCAGACCCTAATGTGTGGGGCAGGGTGCCTCCCAAGCAGCCTGTTGCAGGCTGGAATTCTAACAGCCTGCAAGGGAAAAACCATTGTTTCCCACATTTTTCTCTTTAAAAAGAGAATCCATGTTTAAAGTTTATTGATCCATTTTTAAAGTTCGTTTGTGATCCTTTCATATATTCTTGCCACCCATGGGTTGAGGAAGGCTGCTCTAAGCTACTCCCCAGCTGGCCTGGATTAGGCTCACTGACCCCTTTCCCCATTTGCACTCACTACCACCCCCTTCTGCTTACTTATGGCTGCCCATGGGTCAGGAGCAGGAAGGGAAGTCTACTTAGCTGTGCTGCTGCTTTGTGGGTGGATTCAGGCTGAGCCTACTCAGCTGTCCTGCTAACAGCTGCTGGGCAGGCAGGTTAACCTTGCCTTGGCTGCTCCCCTGGGACAGACAGCCTGGCAGCTCCAAGAAGGGAGGGGGAGAAACGTGGGGGAGGAATGAGGCTGTAGTTGGTTTCTTATTCCCAGTTCTTTATTCCCAATTTCCAGTTCCTTATTCCCAGTTCCTTTTTCAAAGCTACTACTTAGACAGTTACAGGTTGTTAGTAATGAATTACATAAGCTGAAGAGTGAGGATTTCATCAACAACATATATTTGCTAATTAAAATGTAAAATAATATAATGTATCAAGGGCTGGGATTATGAGTGGAAATCCTTCTGGGTCTCCCCAACACACGTCTGCCATCCAGGGACTCCCCCAAAAAAGCCTGGGCAGAGTCCTGCTCAACCCAAAGCTTGGTTTCTGCATCCCCTTAAATAAGTGTTTCTTCATCCCCTGCCCAGTCACGATCACATGCTGTTGCTCAGTCCCCATCCTCACAACTGCCCCATTCCCCACCTGATCCTTATGTGCACTACTTGCTGATCCTCATGCAAGATGCTGCTCCATCCACCACCTGATCCCTGACCTGTACTACAGTCTGATCCTATGCCTAGCTGGAGACAAGTGCTGGTACTCAGATCCAAGATGAGGCATGTTTTTCCCCATGTTGAACAAGGGTAAAAAACTCATCTTGGATTCAAGTAAATACAGTAATAAAAAGTTAATTTTGGAAAAATCAGTGTGTTTCCATGGGAAAAAATGAAGGAAAGAACATTTATATAATGTGGTATTTCCTGTCAGAAAGCAATTTAAATAAATGTGCTTTATTTTACCTTAATAAATAACAAATAAATAAAACACAAAGTAGAACAAAATAATTCCAAATGAATAACTTCACACATTCATAGTGAAAAGACATGACAGGTGACTGCTTATCCAAAAATCTTCATATCGGCTTATATTTCTGTCTGAGAAGACTTGCATATTTAACAAGAAAAAATAAAGAAAAATATGTATAATTTTTAACATAGTTTAAACCTGAATCAAGAAGTCAGTTACTGCTATGTCCCATCATTTAAGTAGGTTCCATGCTCAAAGTGATATATATTCAAAAAAATCCTGTGCATCCCTGATTATGTTCTGCATGTTTGACTAAGGTTATGTTCCTTAGTGAAAACTTTGTATATTCCTTATCTGCATTCTCTTATCTGCATTGGTATGCAGAGGGTAGGAAGGGCTACTGGCGCCTGTTTTCACTGTGTGTAGTCTTGGGTTATATGGTTTGATGTCAAAGTGCACAACTGTAAAAGGCAGGTGTGAGAGTGTAAAGTGAGGGCCAAGTTAAAAGGAAATTGGGATTTAGTGTCTACCAGCCTGACCCAAAGCTTGGCCATTTTGCATGCCAGATTGCCTACTGACAGGCCCCAGGGCCTGAATAAGGAGCTGGGCTTTAGGGTTGCCAACCCTCCCGGACTGGCCAGGGGTCTACTGAAATCAGCATTGATCCGGGTGACTAGTGAAATCAATCTGGGGGACTGATCCTGTGAACAGGTTGAACACTCAAATTAATGACATTATGTCATGTTGGGAAAAAAACCTGGAATAGCTTCAGTTGGAGTTGGCAATCCTGGTAAGGACCAGCTCTGAAAAAGGAACCAGAAACTGGGAGCAAGAAACGGGGAGTAAGAAGGCAACTTCAGCCTCCTGTAGGAGAAGGGGTTGGGGGAGCAGGGGGAGCCTCTTAGTCCCCTGCCGGCCTGAGGTGCGAGGGCTCCAACCTGGAGCTGGCACGAACACTCATGCACGTCTCTCCACCAGGTGTAGCAAGGCCCTCGCCATTAGGTTGCTTTGGCTATAAGGGACGACCCTTCCCTGCCCTCTAGGCAAGGGGCAACCCGCGCGGGTGGTGGGCAGGGTACCCTGCACGTAGTGACCAGGCTTGGTTTGGCTCCAGGATGGTCCAGAAACGATGGGTGAGGCCAGGGTTTCCTAGCGATCCGCCTCTAGGACCAACTAGCTGAATCCAGGGTTCGGAGGCCAGACGGTGTCACAAAGCCAGCCAGATCAGGGCTCTCGCGGCCGGACAAAACCACGGCCACAGCAGCAGAAACCCGCGGCCCCACCCCTGCCCCGTGCGCGCGCAGCCCCCCGGGCGTCCAGCACCCAACATGGCTCCTCTGCTGCTTCGCTCTCCCGACCCAGCCCGGGCCCAACGCGGCTGCCTCGGAATGTTCCGTGCCCTTACACAAGATGGCAGCTCCTGACTTCACCCTCCCTGCTTCGCCTTCCCATGAGGCACGTGACTAGCTCGCTCGCGCTCTCTCTCTGTCTCTCTCACCTCCCCGCCCTCAGGAGGGACGGCGGTGATTGGCCGCCAAGCGCCTCCCCGGTCAGGT